GAATTATAGTGGGGAACAGGAAAATAATGGACAAACTAAATAGTTACTTTGCATCTGACTCCAAGGAAGAAAATATAGAAAATCTCCTAAAAATGTGAGATGACCAAGGGACCTATGAAACAGAGAAACTAAACAAAACAACCATTAGTAAAGCAGTAGTACTTGAAAAGTTAACTGGATTGAAAGTTGATAAATTTCCTAGTGTTGGGGAAGGTGGATAGAGAGATGGATTAATCGGTTATAATCTTTTGAAATTCTATAGATTCTAAAAAGGCTCATGCATTCTATAAAGTAGGAAATACAACCCCATTATTTTATAAGAGAATAGGAAGAGTAAAGAGATATATATCTGTTTTCTTGATGTCAACAGCAGCGAAAATGTTAGAATGCACGATTAGGTAAAGATAAAGTTGCTGTAGTTCCAGAGGACTACTGGAGAGAGATGATTGGTGGTAGTTTAACCTAAGGGTCACCACACCTCAGGCAAGGAACAAGGTTCATATTAACCTCAGCCAGTAGGGGAATTGAACCCAGGTTGTTATTGTCACTCTGCATCACGAACCAGCCATCTAGTCAACTTAGACAAACAAAAAAGAAAGGCTACTTCAAACCAAGGTCTCGGCCTAACTGCCTAGCTACCAAAATTGAGGATCACTGAGGTGAACACCAAAATAATATAAATGCTAACATCCAAAAGATACTGCACGAACATCACATCAATCCACCCTTTTTGGCTTAGACTCTGATCTATAGGTCTTGTGTATTTTTGCCTATAGTTTCCACCCATGATATTCCTAAACAAACTGTGTCCCATCAAACCTACCCATCCTATGTAACAATGAATATGCGTGCTTGTAACTAAATGGATGTTTAAATTGGTCAGATTTCACATTGTGATGATGTGTGGAATAGTGAGGTTTGATTTCCAGTGTATTATTCTCACCAGCCTGTTACTTGTGGGATATCATATGGATCAGTGTTAGGTCTATGGCTGTTAACAATCTACATAAATACTTTGATCATGGGGACCAATGACTCTTGTGGCACAGTGGTAGAACAAAGGACAATACAGCCCAGGAACAGGCCCTTCAGCCTCCAAGGTTGCGCTGACACATTTTACCCTTCCATACTAAAACTGTCTTCACTTACAGGATCCATATCCCTCTCTTCCCTTCCCATTCATGTATTTGTCCAGGTGCTTCTTGAATACTGCTATTGTGTCTGCTTCCAACATCTCGTCTGGCAGCGCGTTCCAGACACTCACCACTCTTAGTGTTGAAAAACCTGCCTCGCACATCTCTTTTAAATTCCACCCCCTGCCCAACTGTAACTTAAATGTGTGTCCTCAAGTAACTGACCAGTCCACCCTGGGAAAAGCTTCATACTTTCCACTCTATCCATGCCATTCACAATCTTATAAATGTCTATCAGGTCACCCCTCAACCTCCTGTGTTCCAGTGAAAACAAACCCAGTCTATCCAACCTATCTTCATAGCTAAAATCCCCCATACCAGGCAACATACTGGTAAACCTTTTCTGTACCCTCTTCAAATCATCCACATCCTTCTGGTAGTGTGGTGACCAGAACTGTACGCAATATTTCAAGTGAGAACGAAATAAAATCCTATAACTTCCAATGAAGGCAAGCATGCCATAGGCCTTTTTTACTACCTTATCTACCTGTGCTGCCACCTTCAGTGATCTGTGGACCTGCATACCCAGATCCCTCTGCATATCAATACTCCTAAGGGTTCTATCATTCACCGTATAATTTCCACCTTTACTTGACCTTCCAAAATGCATCACTTCACATTTGTCCAGACTAAACTCCATCTGCCAATTTTCTGCCCTTGCCTCCAACTAATCTATACCCTGCTGTATCCTCTGACAATCCTCATCACCAACCACAACACCATCAATCTTTGTATTGTTCACAAACTTATGAATTACACCAGGCACGTTCTCCTGCAAATCATCTATATAGACAACGAACAGCAGAGGTCCTAGCACTGATCCCTGTGGAACACCACTAGTCACAACCCTCCATTCCGAAAAGCATCCTTCCACCACTACCCTCTTATGATTAAGCCAGTTCTGTATCCATCTTGTTAGCTCACCCCGTGATACCATGTGACTTCACCTTTTGTACCAGTGTGCCATGAGGGACTTTGTCAAAGGCTTTACTGAAGTCTATGTAGACAACATCAACCACTTTTCCCCCATCAATCATCTTCGTCAACTCCTCAAAAAACTCGATCGAGTTAGTGAGGCACGACCTCCCCACACAAAACCATGTTGTCTATCGCTAAAAAGTCCATTTGCTACTAAACGCATATAGATCTTGTCCCTGAGAATCTTTTCCAATCATTTCCCTACCACTGACATGAGGTTCACGGGCCTGTAATTTTCTGGATTATCTCTGCTACCCTTCTTAAACAGTGGGACAACATTGTCTATTCTCCAGTCCCCTGGGACCCCACCTGTGGCCAAAGAGGATACAAAGATGTCTGTCAATGCTCCAGCAATTTGTTCGCTTGCCTCCCTCGATATTCTGGGATAGTTCCCATCAGGATCTGGGGATTTATCTATTTTGTTGCTTTTTAAGATGCACAACACCTTTTCCTTTTTAATAGCAACTTGGCTTAGAAATTTGACACTCCCTTCCCTGAGATCATCTTCCACCAATTCCTCCTCTTCGATGAATACAGTAAACAAAGTATTCGTTTAGGACTTCACCTACGTCTTCTGGCTCCACACATAGATTCCCTCCTTTGTCCTTGAGTGGGCCAACGTTTTCCCTGGATACTCTCTTACTTTTATATATATATAAATATATATATATAAAGCCTTGGGATTCTCCTTAATCATGTTTGCTAATGAATTCCATGACCCCTTTTAGCCCTTCTAATTCCTTATTTAAGTTATTTCCTACTTTCCTTATATATTTCAAGGGCTTCATCAGTTGCCATCCTCCTAGGCCTTACGTATGCTTCCTTTTTCTTTTTGACTAACGTCATAACATCTCTGGTCATCCAAGGTTCACATAACTTGCCATATCTATTCTTCAGTCTCACAGGAACGTGCGGCTTCTGAATTTGTATCTACTTCCATTTGCAATACTCCCACATGTCCGATGTGGATTTATGCTCAAACAGCCATCTCCAACCAACATTCTCCAGTTCCTGTCTAATATTGATGTAGTTCGCCTTTCCCCATTTTAACACCTTTACTCAAGGACTGCTGTTATCCCTATCTATGAGTACCTTAAAACTCATGGCATTATAGTCACTACTCCCAAAATGCTCCTCCACTGAAATTTCACTCATTCATCTGGCCAGGCTCTTTTCCGAAAACCAGATCCAGTATATCCCCTTCCCTGGTTGGACTGTTTACATACTGTGTCAAGAAAACCTCCTGAATTGTCCTTACAAATTCTACTCTACCCAAGTGCTGATAGTGTCCTTACTTCTGAGCCAGGAGAACTGGGTTCAAGTCCCACCTACTTCAGTGTTGCACAATAACATCTCTGAAGAAGTTGATACAAAAAATAGCATCATAGAGGTGTACAGCACGGAAATAGACCCTTTGGTCCAACTTGTCCATGTTGACCAGATATCCTAAACTAATCTAGTCACTTTGCCGCCTTTTGGCCCATATCCCTCTCAATCCTTCCTATTCATGTACACTTCCAGCTGCCTTTTAAATGTTGTAATTGTACTAGCCTCCATCACTTCCTCTGGCAGCTTATTCCATACACCCACCGCCCTCTGTGTGAAAAAGTTGCCCCTTAGGTGCCTTTTAAATGTTTCCCCATTCACCTTAAAACTGTGCCCTTTAGTTTTGGACTCCCCTACCCTGGTGAAAAGACTTGGCTATTCACCCTGCCCATGCCCCTCATGATGTTATAAACCTCTATAAGGTCACCACTCAGCCTCCGACGCTCCAGGGAAAATTGCCCCAGCCCATTCAGCCTCTCCCGGTAGCTCATACCCTCCAACCCTGGCAATATCCTTGTAAATCTTTACTGAACCCTTTCAAGTTTCACAACATCTTTCTTACAGCAGGGTGACCAGAACTGAACACAGTATTCCAAAAGTGGCCTAATGTTTGAATGTGGAGACCAATGACTCTTGTAGTACAGTGGTGGCCTCTGAACTGGGAGACCCACCTCCTCTGTAAGATCTCTGAGCAGGTTAACTGGGAAAGTATCTGAAAATGGAGATCAATTGTGATATTTCCAAATTTGCTGACAACGTAAATCAGATTGGAAATGCAAGTTGTGAGGAGGCTTCAAGAGGACCTTGACAGGTTAAGTGAACGGTTTAGAATGTGGCAGTTGGAATACAATGCGAATAAATGTGGTTATTCACATTGGTGCAGAAAGGCAGAATATTTTATTAAATGGGGAGAGGTTGGGAAGTGCAGTGTCCAAACGGACCTGGGTGTCCTTATCCATGAGTTACTAAATGTTTGCATGCGGGTGCAACAAATAATTATGAAGGCTATCGGTATGTTGGGGGAGGGACCTCTTGTGGTGCAGTGCTAGTGTCCCTAATGTAGTGATTGTAATGAGGTCAGCCAGCTGGGCCTCAAAAAATGAGCTCCCTGATTGGGGCTGTTAATCTGGTCCAATCAGGCAGCTCGGACTGACAGATACAAAGTGAGGTGTAAGGAAGTTGCACGCAGTAGTCCCTTACAATTGCAGGTAGTGGTGTTTCACAGACTCCCAGTCCAAATGCTTATTTTGCGGCACTGTGGAGTCCATGGACCATGTATATATTCATTGTAGGCATCTGCACTCCCTTTATAGTTAACTGAAAAACCTTTTATTATGTTTTTGGTTGCACTTCAGCCCCACGCTCCTGACCTATGGGCTCCCAGTGTGGAGGGGTGTGGGCAAATTGGAGGATCTCCTCATGGGTCTGCTGCTGAGCCTGGCCAGGCTGGCTATAAACAGGTTCTCAGGCAGTGGGCCGGGTTGGGGCTTCGTCGCTGCTGACTTCCTGCCCTTGTTTTGCGGTTACGTTTGAGCCCAAGTGTCCATCAGTGCTCTTGATGCCTTTAGGGAAAGGTGGGAACTGCAAGGTTGGCGGGGGGTAGGGGTGGAATGCTTTATATCCTCCTCCAATTCTATTTTGATTTAATCCCTACGCTCCTCCTTCACTTTCTTCACGTAAGCTTTGCACTTATCAGGCTTTGCTTGTTAATGGTTCACTGGCCACATGCGGTGCTTTCCTGGTGGTGGGAAATACGAAGTTCTGGCACAATGGTGCCTTTTTACTGAATCACTACACATACACACACGCAGTCACGAGTGATGTGGGGGAATAAAAAGAGAAAAAAAAAACAGTAAATTCAGGTCTCCTCAGTTTGGGGACTGGCTTTAAGCTGGCTGGTCACAGCCTAGAAAGGAAAAATGAACAAAAAAGGGGAAGTGTCAGAGGTAGTGACACCGACGGCTGGCCGAAGAGGCAGTACTAAAGTCAGGGATAGTTCATTTGTAACTAAGGGTGACTTGGCGATGGGATACCAGCTCCTGTGAAGATAATTCACTTACCCAGGGACAGTGAGGCACAGGTTCACGTCCCGCCTACTCCAGAGGTGTGTGATAACATCTCTGAAGAGGTTGGTTAGGAAAAATAGGAATGGTATGTTGGGCTTCATCACAACAGGATCCGAGAACAGGAGTAAAGTTGTCTCAGTAGGCCCTAAGTTGAAAGGTTGATTCCCTTATTTGAGGGAGGGATATACCTATCATACAGGAAGTAAAATGGATAATCGCCTGGGATGGTGAAATTATCTATGAGAAAGCATAGAAGAATGTGGGTCTGAATTCCTCAGAGTTTTGGAAAAATTTAAGATGATCCTCCAAGGCGCTGATAGGATGAATGTCGTTGGGCTATTTCTTCTGCAAAATTACTAGAACCACATGGTCTCTAAAAGGGGGCGTGAACTGCTCGTAACCTTTTGATTCTGTTACAGTTAAACTTGACCTATTAAAAAGATATTTAAAAAAAAACAGGTTTAATACAAAGTATAACGTCATGAAGCACTGGCGAATGTTATTTTGTTTTAAAAGAAAAACAAAAACCCTGCGTGAATTAAGGAACCCGTTCGGAAACGCTGACTCAGAGGAAGAACTCTTCTGAGCAGTGGGACGGCAGTTTCACGATTTATTTCACTTTCGCTGTTCAGGGAGCAGCAAAACCAAACCGGAGTCGGGGCTCGGTCTCTGCGCGACAGCGAACCAGAAAATGAAGCGAACGTGCCCGATGTTGTTGGTGTTGTCTTTGCTGGTGAGTGAATTCCAATCGTGACGGTGAAGAGGTAGGAAGTAAGGTGCAGGTTTGAAAGCACGGCCAGGCTGTAGGGTTACACAAGGAGCTGTCTGTTAGCCCCCCAGCGCCTTCAGTGGATCGCCTTTAACATGGACAGGAGGAGCGTTAGCTATCAGGGGCAGCGTGTTGCTTTAGTTTTGTCGTTTAGATTTGTTGAGTCCTGTACAACGCCCAGACTCGACACTCATGGAAATCAAAACTGACCACTTTTTGCATTCAGCACCCCCCAACCCAAGAAGTGCCATTGATTGTGTGACGTTCACACCACACTGTAGGAAGGCAAAAAAAAATCGTACCTTCTGTATACAGATCGTCCAGTGTTTATTCCACAGTTGGGCCACAACCCTCTCTTGTACTGACACTTTAAAGAGCACATGACTACAGCATTAGCGGAAAAAGACTGTGATGTATTTTTGATACCTTCTGTTTCTTTTTATTGCTGTAAGTAAATAATTTTGGTGTTTGTGTGATTTTTAGAACGTAAGAATTCAGAGCAGGAGCAGGCAATTCGGCTTCTCAAGCCTGTTTCCCCATTCCACACGATCATAGCTGATTTCATCTTGGACTCAGCTGGTTTCCTGCCGCTCTCCATAACCTTTCAAGCCGTTACTAATTAAAAATCTGCCTGTCTCCTGTTTAAATTACTCGATGTCCCAGTGCCCATCACATTCTGGGATCTTGACTTCCACAGATTCACGTCCCTTTGTGAGAAATAATTCTTCCTCATCTCCTTTTGAGATCTGCTACCCCTTATCCTGAAACTAAACTAAGTCTCATTCTAGATTGCCCCACATTGTAAGCATTCTACTCTATGTCTTCTTTGCCAATTCCGTTCAATTCTTTTCCTTTTTTAAAAATTCCCCCCACACTACCACTGCACCCAATTCCCTTTCATATCTTATATACCTCAATCAGATATCCTCATATTCTTCTAAACTCCACAGAGCATAGGCTTAAACTGCTCAAACTCTCTTCAAAAGACAAAACCCTCATCTCTGGAATCAATTTAGTGAACCTCTTCTGAACTGCCTCCACAAACAGGGGAACCACATCTGTATGCAATATTCATTTGTTCTGGTGATGTGAGCAGCACGGTCAAGGCTACTATTTATTGCATGAATTTGAGGTGGTGAACTGTGTTTTTGCATTGTTGATATCTTCGGGGTGTAGATACATCCACGGTATTTTTTTCTGTAGCATTTTGATAGAACTGAGTGGCTTCTTGTGCCATTTCAGCGGTCAGAAGTGAGTCATGTTGTTGTGGTTTGGAATTTTGCGTAGTGTACATGGGGTAAGGAGTACATTACCTCCCCTGAAGGATAGCACTGATCTAAGCGGGTTTCTACGACAACCTGGTAGTTACATGACCATTATTAATGTGGTTAGCATTTCATTCTGATTAATTCATTAAAATTTCACCCCTCCCCCCACTCCTGCAGAGGGACTTGAACACTTGTTTCGGGTGTGTTAGTTTGGGCCTGTGTGTTACTAGCCCAGTAGTATCACTACTGTTCCTAATTTGGAACAATATTATATATTTACACTTGTTTATTTGAATGCTTGTTGCTTCCTGTGCCAAGTGTTAGTACGAATCTAATAAACTCTGCAAAAGATGTTTTTTCTAAACAATAAAAATACGAAGGAAAATTTTAGTGATATACATAGCTATATTAAATAATAAATGCTATAATGTATCAGTTTGTCACTTTAAACTTAAATTGCAAAGAAAACTCTTCTTTTTAAGAACAGTATTCCTGTAAGTGTATTTCCCCTAAGATAGTGACTCATATTGGAGTTGTTTCTCTTGTACTAGCAATCAACAGGGTGATGCCTTAATGACCTATCATGTGAAAGACTGACAGTTTACTGTAATGAGATTTATGGTTTGAAAAGCTTTATGGTTTAAAAAGCCAAACCCACTCCTCTGATCATCCATCAAACACAAACCTCACACTCGCACGCTATCTCACTTGCGCTGACGCTCACACACTCGTACCCACACTGTTTCATGCTCACACTCTCTAACTCACGCTCACACTCACATTCATACTCACATTCACACTCTTTCACACACACACAGATCCAGGCATCAGGTTAAATAATAGACAAAAGCAAAGACTTTTTCTTGCTAGTTAATAATTGGTAACAAATATTAAAATAATGACAAATTTTGCTCAGCTGTCGTATTTGAATCGTAAGGCTGACGGTATGGTTTATTTGGTAATGAAAAAGTGAGAATAGCAGGGGCTGAATTTTCAAAGTGAGGTTGAATACATTATCTGGATAATTTCTGACTTCTCCACTGTATTAACAGTAGTAATGACCTTGTTATGCAGATCCTAAGCTTGGCATCCACTGCCTCCAAAACAGGAGCAGCAAAAGTAGGCATCAGCAATGAGGTGGCCTGCCATGGCCTTTTCAAAGAGAGCAGACCCCCTCCTCACTGGGTTTGGAGGATAGTCAAGGTCTGACGCAGTTGAATTTAAACACAAAGGTAAACATTTTAATTTAAGCCATTAAAGGGGGAAGTCAATGCAGCCACATGCAGACTGGACCAGGTAAGGATGGTAGTTTCCTTCCCTAAAGGGCATTAGTGTACCAGATGGATTTTTCCCAACAATGGTTTACAGTCACCGCTTAATTCTATATTTATATTGAATTCAAATTCCACCATCTACTGTGGTGAGATTTGAACCCCAGGTCACTTGAACATTACCTGGGCTTCTGGATTAACAAGCAATAATCCCACTAAAACATCATCTCCTCACGTTAGCCAACCTACTATCCAACCTGTTCTGAGGAACATGAATAGGAAGGGTTTAGAGGGATATGGGCCAATTGCTGGCAAATGGGACTAGATTTATGTAGGATATCTGGTTGGCATGGCAGAGTTGGACCGAAGGGTCTGTTTATGTGCTGTGTGTCTCTTTGACTCTATGAATTGCAGTACAGTTCTGCTATTGCTGATGACCCACAGTACCTCATGGATGCCCAGTCTTGAGTTGCTAGATCTGTTCAAAGTCTGACCCATTTAGCAAGGTGATAGTGCCACACAGTTCGATAGAGGTTATTCTCAGTTTGAAGGTGGGACTTCACAAGGACGATGCAGTGATCACTCTTACGAATTGTTATGCTTTTCCATCTTGTTGGCTCCCTCACCACCTGCCACAGATCCAGTCTAGCATCTATGTCCTTGAGCTAGTCAACTCCTAAATCAGTAGTACTGCTGTTGAAGGTTCCTGTCCAGAATACTTTCAATGCCCTTGTTACCCGCACTGCTGTCTCCAAGTGATGATGAATGATTTGTCAGGAGTGGAGTATTGCGGGGCGGAGGTTAGATATGTAGTAATCAGGAGGAGGTTTTCTTGTACATCTTTGATTCAATATCATGAGACTTCATGTGGTCCAGAGTCAATGTTGAGGACTTGCAGGGCAGCTCCCCTGCTGACTGTGCCCTGTTGTTTTTCCACATCTGATGAGCCTATCCTTCTGGTGGGACAGGAGAAAACCAGGAATGGTGGTGGTGTTTTTTGGGATACTGTTTGTAAGGTATTAGAATAATTCTGTGTTAGACTGTTGCTTGTCTGGTGTGTGAGGCAGCTCTCCCAATTTTGGCACGAGCCTTCAGATGTGATCAGACACCAGCTAAACGGCACTCTGCAGGGTTGATTTTGCTGATGCCTTCATTGATGTCCAGTCTATCTGGTTGCATTCTTCTTTTTTCAGACTTCCTAGCAGTTCTTCTGTCACATACAGGCCAGACCAGATAAGAACAGCAGTTTTCCTTCCCTAAAAAAAAAACTTTGGTGACCCATTTGGGTTTTTAGGCCAATGGTTTCATTATCATCGTTAGACTCTTAATTCTAGATTTTTATTGAATTCACCAGCTGCTGTGGTGGGATTTGAACCCGGGTACCCAGAACATCACCAACCCCATGACTACACTGCACCATCACCTCCATGTCTTGTCATAACTATTACTCACTAATAAGAATAGATTTTTGCATGCTAGATTTCATTCTTGAAGTTTTTGGCTCATTTATTTTAAATATCTTACATGTGATTATGTTTCATAATTTAACTAGAATCTTACTTTTTTTCTTTGTAAATAATTTTCTTGGGGCAACTTTATAGATATCCTACATCATTGTTCTATCCAATCGTGTTTTGCAGATTGTGACAGATGCCCATCAATCTACCTCCGAGGAGAGGAATGCTGTTCAAAATAGTTTATCAAATGCCAATATTTCAAGTCCTGTACGGAGATGGCCTGTAAAACGACGTTTCCGAAGGAATGATAATTGTCCAGATTTTTCGTCATCAAATTGCAACAAATGTAAGCCAGGTAAGTGAATGTTAACTCTGAACACGTACGTTGCATTGCATTGCTGCCATATCTGCAAACTACTTTTAAATAGCACATATTGGAAACCTTTAATAACAACAAAAACCTGCATTACTGTAATGCTTTCACTAAAGTGCAGTCACACAAAAATGGTACCAAGACACTGAAGGATTCATTGGCTTGGCGAAAGATGTGGGATTTAGGTAGGGCCTTTCAGGAGATGAGATATTTGAGAAGTAATGGCATGGCTATGAATGAGATGGGCAAGGCAGTGGCGGAAGGGAGAAGAGAGGTTTGCATAAAATGATAGAATCTAAGGAAGGAACATTAGCGGTTTGGAGGATAGTCAAGGTCTGACGCAATTGAATTTAAACACAAAGATAAATATTTTAATTTAAGCCATTGTGGGGAGGGGGGTCAACATAGTGGGCCTCTGCAGCCACAGGCAGACTGGACCAGGTAAGGATGGCAGCTTCCTTCCCTAAAGGGCATTAGTGTACCAGATGGGTTTTTCCCAACAATGGTTCACAGTCATCGCTTAATTCTAGATTTATATTGAATTCAAATTCCACCATCTACTGTGGTGAGATTTGAACCCCAGGTCACCTGACCATTACTTGGGTCTCTGGATTAACAAGCAATAATCCCACTAAGACATGATCTCCCCATGTTAGCCAACCTACTATCCAAGTACTATCCGACCTGTTCTGAAGAAGGGTCCTTGAACCAGAAATGTTAACTCTGATTTCTCTCCACACTGCTGCCAGACCTGCTGAGATTTTCCAGCAATTTCTGTTTTTGTTTCAGATTTTTAGTGTCCACGGTTCTTTTGGCTTTTTCCCCACTATCCAAGCTGATGTATTACCCCTCACGCCATGTGATCTTGTGCGTTAACCATTTGTTTGGCCTCATATCAAATGCTTTCTGGAAGTCTAGATAAGCTATAATCTACACTTTGCTTGTTACATCTTTAAAAATCTCTAGCAAATCAAACGTGATTTTTCCTTCATAAAATTATGCTGATTCTGTTGGATTGTGTTTTGACTTTCCAGTTATCCTCTTGTTACTTCCTTAATAATGGATTCTAACACTTCTCAATAACCTATGTTAAACTATCTGGACTACAGTTTCCTACCTCTGCATCCCTCCCTTCCTTTTCGAATAATGGTGCAAAAGTAGCATTTTTCAATCCACTGGAACCTTTCTCACATCCAGGGAATTTGGAATATTATAACCAATGGATCCACTATCTCTGCTGCAATTTCCTTTAATACCCAAAGATATCGGCCATCAAGGCCTGGGGACTTTCTGCCTTCAGTCCCAGTAGTTTGCTCAGTACTTTTTTCCTGGTGATGATGATTGTTCTTAATTCCTCCCTTGTTATAATCTCTAGTACCATCCCAATAGTAATGGGTAATGCAGTGTCATCCACCTTGAATACTGAAGCTACGTACTGATTTAGTGACTCTGCTATTTCAGTGTTCCCATTACTAATTCCTCAGTCTCCTGCTCCAAGGGGTCAACAATCACTTTAATTACTCTTCCCTTTTATATATTTGCGGAAGTTTTTACTATGGGTTTTTATAGTTTGTGCTAGTTTTGTTTCATAATTTGCTATTGCTCTTTTTATTATTATTTTAGTAACCTATGTTGATCGTTAATTTTCCCAATCTTCCAGCCTGTCACTTACCTTTGCAGTTATGGTATGCCTTAGTTTTTGTTTCTTTATTATCTATAACTTCCTTGCTTAGCCATGGATTTTATTTTTAACCCCCTTACGGTCTGTCTTCCTCCCCGAAATATATTTTAGTTGGGAGAGATTGAATATCTCCTTAAAAAAAAAAAATTGTCACTGCTCATCAACTATCTCACCTTTTAGTCTTTCTGTCCAGCGCATTGAGGCCAGATGTGTTTCCATGCCTGTATAATAACATTAGTTTAAACCCATAATGCTAGTGTAGGACTCCTGTTTCTTATCCTTGAACTGAGTTTGAAATTCTAGCATGCTATGATCACTCTTCCCTAGCTGAATCTTTTCCACCTGATTACAACTACATTTCTCCTTCCTCCTGTCTCTTGAATGGCTTCCTGTTAATTAATACCATCTCAATACATAATACCACATTCAGAATTGCCTGTTGCCTGGTTGACTCCACAGCATATTACTCCAAGAACCAATCCCTAATACATTCAAGTGAATTTTTCTTCAAAGCTGCCTTTGCCAATTTGATTAATCCAGCCATGATTATTGTTATACCTTTCCTCTAAGCTCCCAGTATTTCCTGGGAGCTTACACTCTGCTCACTGTCGATCTACTATTTTGAGACATATAGATTACTCCTGTTAGGGACTTCTTTTCCTTTACTATTTCTTATTTCTACCCAGGCTGATTCTACATCTTGATAGAATCATAGAATTCCTACAGTGTGGAAGCAGGCATTTCTGCCCATTGAGTCCACATCAACCCTCCAAAGAGCAAAAAAAAAGACTCAGACCCACCCTTATCCTATCCCTGCATTTCCCACCTTAGACACTATGGGCAATTTCCCATGGCCAATCCACCTCATCTGCACATCTTTGGACTGTGGGAGGAAACCCACACAGACATGGGAAGAATGTGCAAACTCCACACAGACCCGAGACTGGAATTGAACCCAGGTCCTTGGGGCTGTGAGGCAGCAGTGCTAACCACTGAGCCACCCCAGTGTTGATATCATTTCTTACTATAGCACTGATCCCATCCTTTGCTAACAAAGTTACAATACCTCCTTTTCCTTCCTTCCTGTCCTTTTGAAACACTGAGTACCCTTGGATATTCACTTCCCAAACCTGCTCCCTGCAACCAAGCCTCCGTAATTGCAACCAAATCATAACCATTACTCTCTATTTGCACTGTTAAGTCATTAATTTTGTTCCAAATGCCTTGTGCATTCAGATACAAAACCATGAAACATGCTCTCTTCACAAATGTTCCTCCTCTTGTCCAATTCCTGGGTGTGATATGATGTTCCCATAGTCTTTCCCCTTTCTTTTCTGGTAACAATCAACCTAATCACTAAACTGCACTCTTGTCTTCTCCTTTAACTTGGACTTTCTAATTTTCCATGCAGTTGGTTCTGGGACCATCACTAAACCTCTCTGTAGTCCTGGTTCACCCAGTATGATTCAGGTGGAGTCCATCCCGTTGGAATAACTCCTTCCTTTCCTAATACTTATGCCAATGTCCCATGAATTGGAACCTGTTTCTCCCAAACAAATCTTTCAGCCATTAATTTACCTCTTTAATCTTATTGACTTTGTGCCAATTAGCTTGAGGCTCAGGTAGTAATATGGAGATTATGACCTTTCTGGTTCTGCATTTTAATTTAACCTCCAACTGCTGATATTCCCACAGCAGAACCTCATTCCTCTTTCTTCTTATAACATTTGTACCTACGTGGACCACGTCAATAGGATCTTTCCCTTCCCAATCCAAGTACCTCTGCAGCCCAGATGAGACATCCTGAACCTGAGCACCAGGCAGACAACACGGGCTTTAGGACTCTCCAACCTGTTTATTTGCCTGACTATGATCCCAGATCCCAATTACATTTCTCCTTCCTCCCCACTCTTGAATGGCTCCCTGCACCATGGTGCTGTGGTCAGTTTGCTCATCCTCCCTACAGCCCCGACTCCCATCCATACAGGGAGCAAGAACTCGAACTTGTTAGACGAGCTCAAGGGCTGATGCTACATTAACAGTACTTCCTGAATCTCTCTACCTACCGTGCTTGTAGTCACCCTCTTGTTCCTGTCCACAGACCAAATTCGAGAGAGTTAATCCCAAAGGTGTGACTGCCTCCTGAAACACAGTGTCCAGGTTAACTATTCCCCCATCCCTGATGTGTTGCAGGTTAAGTTCAGACTCCACCACATCAATTCTCTTTCAGAGTTGCTCAACCAACCAAGATTTAGTACAAGGTGTAGAGCTGGATGAACACAGCAGGCCGAGCAGGAAGGCTGACATTTCGGGCCTAGACCCTTCATCAGAAATGGGGGAGGGGAAGGGGGTTCTGAAATAAATAGGGAGAGAGGGGGAGGCGGATAGAAGATGGATAGAGGAGAAGATAGGTGGAGAGGCAACGGACAGGTCAAAGAGGCGGGGATGGAGCCAGTAAAGGTGAGTGTAGGTGGGGAGGTAGGGAGGACGGACAGGTCAAGGGGGCGGGATGAGGTTAGTAGGTAGGAAATGGGGGTGTGGCTTGAGGTGGGAGGAGGGGATAGGTGGGAGGAAGAACAGGTTAGGGAGGCGGGGACGAGCTGGGCTGGTTTTGGGATGCGGTAGAGGGAGGGGAGATTTTGAAGCTTGTGAAATCCACATTGATACCATTGGGCTGCAGGGTTCCCAAGCGGAATATGGGTTGCTGTTCCTGCAACCTTTGGGTGGCATCGTTGTGGCACTGCAGGAGGCCCAGGATGGACATGTTGTCTGAGGAATGGGAGGGGGAGTTGAAATGGTTCGCGACTGGAAGGTGCAGTTGTTTATTGCGAACCGAGCGTAGGTGTTCTGCAAAGCGGTCCCCAAGCCTCCACTTGATTTCCCCGATGTAGAGGAGGCCACAACGGGAACAGCGGATGCAGTATACCACATTAGCAGATGTGCAGGTGAACATCTGCTTGATGTGGAAAGTTTTCTTGGGGCCTGGGATGGGGGTGAGGGGGGAGGTGTGGGGGCAGGTGTAGCACTTCCTGCGGTTGCAGGGAAAAGTGCCAGGTGTGGTGGGACTGGAGGGGAGTGTGGAGCAGACAAGGGAGTCACTGAGAGAGTGGTTCCTCCGGAAAGCAGATAAGGGTGGAGAGGGAAAAATGTCTTTGCTGGTGGGGTCGGATTGCAGATGGCGGAAGTGTCGGAGGATGATGCGTTGGATCCGGAGGTTGGTGGGGTGGTACGTGAGATTGGGAATTGGGAATTCCTTTGCCTCCGCCGCATCTGCTCCCAGGATGAGGCATTCCACTCCCGTACATCTCAGATGTCCTCGTTTTTCAAGGACCGCAGCTTCCCCCTCTCAGTGGTCAAGAACGCCCTCCATCGTGTCTCCCACATTTTCCGCAGCTCATCCCTCACACCCCGTCCCCGCAATAACAGCCAAAAAAGAATCCCCCTCATCCTCATGTACCAGCCCACCAACCTCCGGATCCAACGCATCATCCTCCGACACTTCCGCCATTTGCAATCCGACCCCACCACCAAAGACGTTTTTCCCTCCCCACCCTTATCTGCTTTCCGGAGGGACTCCTCTCTCCATGACTCCCTTGTCCGCTCCACACTCCCCTCCAGCCCCACCACACCCGGTACTTTCCCTGTAACCGCAGTTAGTGCTACACCTGCCCCCACACCTCCTCCCTCCCCCCCCATACCAGGCCCCAAGAAGACTTTCCACATCGAGCAGATGTTCACCTGCATATCTGCTAATGTGGTATACTGCATCCGCTGTACCCGTTGTGGCCTCCTCTACATCGGGGAAATCAAGCGGCAGCTTGGGGACCGCTTTGCAGAACACCTCCGCTCGGTTCGCAGTAAACAACTGCACCTCCCAGTCGCGAACCATTTCAACTCCCCCTCCCATTCCTCAGACGACATGTCCATCCTGGGCCTCCTGCAGTGCCACAACGATGCCACCCAAAGGTTGCAGGAACAGCAACTCATATTCCGCTTGGGAACCCTGCAGCCCAATGGTATCGATGTGGATTTCACAAGCTCAAAATCTCCCCTCCCTCTACCGCATCCCAAAACCAGCCCAGCTCGTCCCTGCCTCCCTAACCTGTTCTTCCTCCCACCTGTCCCCTCCTCCCACCTCAAGCCACACCCCCATTTCCTACCTACTAACCTCATCCCGCCCCCTTGACCTGTCTGTCCTCCCTGGACTGACCTATCTCCTCCCTACCTCCCCACCTACACTCACCTTTACTGGCTCCATCCCCGCCTCTTTGACCTGTCTGTTTCCTCTCCACCTATCTTCTCCTCTATCCACCTTCTATCCGCCTCCCCCTCTCTCCCTATTTATTTCAGAACCCCCTTCCCCTCCCCCATTTCTGATGAAGGGTCTAGGCCCGAAACGTCAGCCTTCCTGCTCCTCTGATGCTGCTTGGCCTGCTGTGTTCCTCCAGCTCTACACCTTGTTATCTCAGATTCTCCAGCATCTGCAGTTCCTACTATCTCTGATACAACATTTAGTACAGATGTGGTCACTGTGAACCACAATGATGTCCACCAGCTCCCACATCATACAGGTACAACAAATTGTCTAGCCCAGCACCTTTATTTTATTTACTTAGCTGTTAATTTGATTTTTAAAAATTTCTTACTGGTCTTTTAGATTTTTAATCTGTGAAACATTTCTCCTATTTTCTTGTAGTCTGAAAGCAATTTATAATAGGCATTCAGATTAGCAGCCATTACCAAATAGTTAATTTATAGTTTTCCCTGTGATGTCATTCTCTTTTGTCCCTAATCCTGTGCCTCAATTTATCCTGTTAAAAATACCTTATAAACTATAAACCAAAAAAATGCAGAAATTCCCGTTCTGCATTGAATTCCCGTTATGCTCCACAATCCTAGAAACACTCACTCAGTTGTACTCTTTCTGACTGCTTGTGTGAAGCTTACTGATTGGATTAGTTCAGTCTGGAGATGAAAATAGACGCATGGATGGGGATTTCAGTAGATGATAGACTATGAAAGGTGCAAAGTTGGATGATTTATTTTTGTAATGGCAACCAAATTAAGCTCAAATCTACCACCAATATTTGGCTCGATTCTCCTGAAGTGTTAGGTATTTTGATGTATTCAAAATGGTTTGAACTGCACTATCTTTTTAAAATCCTTTCTCTATTATTGGTTAGATGCTGCATTTTGGTCTGGTCCTCATTCACATTTTTTGCTCTTAGGTACTTATCTGTTAAGCTGCTCTTGCAATTGTGAACAGTGTAAAGACGGCGAATTTACAGATGCTGAAAATCTCTTGGATAAATGTGAGCGATGTACGCAATGCCAAGAGCATGATGGTAAGGATATGTTTTTTTTTAAGTGAGGTACTTCTGGAAACTGTTCACTAACTGCTCCAGATTATGTGTACCAAATATTGAATGTATTCCAGTAAAATACAACCAGATCCACACAGCACAGAAGTTCATTTGGCCTTTTTGGCTTGTGCTGCCAAATTAAAAAGAAACATCCTTTGCAATGCAGAATGGCTTTCAAGTCTGACATTTGTTGCCCAATATTTAATACAGTTATGTTGTTTGCTTGCTCACCTCAAAGAACAATTCCCACTCTGCAATTTCTCATTGAAATATAAACTAACTTCCAATCTGTAGCATCCTTTGAATGTGCCTCCAACACCCTATCAAGTAGCATATTCTAAATCACAACAGCTTATAACAATCAAATGAAATCTTCATCTTCCTTTATAGTTCTTTTACCAATTTGTTACGTCTTTGAATTCTTACTGGTGGAAACATTTTCTCGTCATTTATTCTTCACAAAAAGCTTTCGTAATTTTGAGCACGTCTACTAAACCTTGCCCTTGTCTTCTCTGCTCTGAGAAGTTTCATCCGTTTCTGGAGTGTCTCCACAATACTCAAGATATTGATGGAATAGTGAATTGTTTTATGGCCATATGGCAATTTATTAAAATTAAAGCCTGAAGAGTTATGGCATGGAGTTGGATTTTGCAGCCTATGATGAACAAACAGCAACAGTTGTGCATTATACTTAACATGCCCACAGACCTTCAATTGAGGTTTACATTAGATCTTCTGGTGATGAGAGAAGCCTTTTAGTGCAATGGCCACTATAGCAGATCTGGGACTTGTACGAATAGAGTTCGAAGCTGCGTATTGCCTGAAACAATCGGCTTGAAGAATTGTCATAAGTAGGTAGTGGAAGCTGATACTTTTGTGACTTTTAAAGGGCGTCTTGACAAATATATGAATAGGATGGGAATAGAGGGATATGGTCCCTGGAAGGGTAGAGGGTTTTAGTTGCGACGGGCAGCATGTCGGTGCAGGCTTGGAGGGCCGTAGGGCCTGTTCCCGTGCTGTAATTTTCTTTGTTCTTTGTTCTAGCACAGAGCCTAAACCAGGAAGTAGCAGTTAGACTATTAAAGAAAATGTCTAATAGTCTATAGAAAGTGAAATAAAGAGAGCATTGGAAAGATTGAGCATGAGGGATTAAAGAGATGGAAAGAGAAAGTAAAAGCAAAGTTTAAAAAATTCTATTGTAATTAAAGCCTGAAAGAGTGAGACTCCATATTTTAAAGAAGTTATTTTTCAGATGCAGAGAGGTTGTTTGGTAGGCTTATTGCATGGAAAATTTATTTCCACTAGAATGAGTATGTCTTAATATTTTAGATGAGGTTGGTGGGCATTTAGTAAGTACTTCTTACAACTTCATACCCTTTTGTATACTTAAATTCTGAGTCCCTACTGCGGCAAAGCTTTGGGAGTAGCAGGAAATTTGGACAAGAGTTTTCTGATTTCTGTATTTGGCTGTGCATGTGGTGCAGTTGCTGGAATTTGTCCAATTTACTTTTCAATAAGGGTGAACAGTGATGGCCTTACCATTATTTCTACTGTAAAATCCAAGCAATCAATTGACAACTGCAGCCTGGGACTTGTACTTTTGAAACTAAGGGTTTCTAAGCTGGCTCAGCGTTTTATTTATGGTGAACCTTTGAAAGATCTGGGGTGAGAAAATTTTGCAGGGTTGCTGCTACCCTACAACCTATTCCTTCTTCAAATGCCCACTAGTATGTAGAAATTGAGTTACTGGTGTACTTCAGAACCAATGGAGCAGGAGCAAGACTTAGTTTCTGCTTCCCACTGTGCCTTCAATGAAGGAATAGGTCTCGGGGTGGGAGCGACTCTGATATTTCATCGCCCTGGAGGCTTGTAATTTCCACTGGAAGTGAACATCAAATTAATTAGGAACTCATAAAAGGAGAATTTGAGAAGCAGTTTCTAAACAATATTGTGAAAATGTAATTGGTATAAAGTTCAGACTGTTGGCTGAGGCATGCCAGACCACTTGCTCATGAGGACACTGCTGCTTACACAGTGAGCCTATGTTGAAAGCACACAGAACCTGATAGAAGTTTAAGGTTCTTGTGAAGATTTGTAGCTCGGGTTGTGGATGAGTTGTTGACTTGCTCACTGAGCTGGCTGGTTATAGTTCAGATGTTTTGTCACTGTGCTAGGTAACATCATCAGTGTTGCCTCCAATGAAGTGGTGTTATTCTACTCTGCTTAGTATTTATGTGATCCGGTCTGTTGAGGTGTTTTGTGCCATTTCCGTATAGGATCTAATTCCACATGTTTATTGATTGCATCATGGGTGGAGAAGCAGACCTCTAGGAATTCATGTACGTGTCCATGGTTAGTGTGAGCTAGGATGGTCACGGGATCCCAGTTAAATTGATGGCCTTTGTTGTCTGAACTGGAGATAGAGACAGCTGCACGCACACAGACTCATGCATGTGCGCAGGCACATAAGCACGTACAGAAATGTGCGAATGGACACAAACACACAGACCTTCCTGCGCGCGTGTGCTCACACACACATCTCCTCCGTTCCTAGGGTCACACGAGACCTGCAGTACTTGGCAGACTGAGTGTCATGACTTACGGAAGTCTGCTGAACAGTCTCACCATCGCTTAGGGGATAGCCTGTTCCACAAGTTATGTGGCATGCGGCTAAAGATCAAGAAGAAATACAGGAGAAGAAAGGATAGAGGCAACTTAAGCAGACCCTTTCTGCATGTCTTTCAAGTATCATACTAATAACCACAGCCCCCATTCAAATGTTAGTGGGAGAACATTTAGGGGATAGAACTCATTGTCAGCCTAAATGATAATAGAATGATAATAGAAAATGGGCTTTCAGACTAAGAATAATTAACTGGGGGAGAGCTGATTTTAACGGAGAAGAATGAAACTAGACCAGATAAATTGGAGCAAAATGTAGTTGGGAAAAACGGTTGTTAAATAATCATCTACTTTTGAAATGGAGATGTTTTGGGCGTAATCAAGGTATATTCCCTCAAAAGGCAAACAGATGTGTCTCAGAACCTGTTGCTAGCCAGCCCCGTACCACTGCTGAGCTCATTTGAGTATGTTCCCTACCTTTTGGGTTTAGATCATTGGGCTGACTTTATGGTTCATTATCACTGGACATCACTGAGGGCATTTACCGCCCACCTCTGATTCTGTGTCTGGTTGGCACGTAGTGAGATCTTGTGGGTAATCAGCACTCGGGCTTTATTAACAAAGGACATATGTAGAAGATGGTAAAAGACGGCATCTTACTTAACGCCTCACAGTCCCAGGCTCCTGTTCCATGTGACCTAACATCCTGTGTCTCTCCAAATGCAGCTCCTGCCTCTGTGGCCACCCTCTAAATTAAACACGGTGCCAACTTCCAAGCTGATGGTTGCATTTGTTAAATCGGGTGCCAGTGTTATTTTCATCATCATTATTGTTGCTTTTCAACTGATGCCTGTGCAAGTAGTAATTATGGAGTTTCTGAAAGGCAAACCGTACAGTCGTTGGATTGTGCTGAGGGGGAGGATAGCAGCTTACAAATATAAAGGAATTAGGGTAATGGGATATGAGGAGGATTAGTAACTGCCTTCTGTACTCTTCTATGGATTCAGCCCTGTTGGTGCCATATCCTCAGAAGTGGCCTCCCATTGGCTTAAGGCCATGTAGGTGTACCTCCCAACTTTTCCGGTGCAATTCTCTTCCTGTAGGAAGTGTGTCAGTAAGTGTCACTATCGTGGTTGAATAGCTGACAGTGTGCGCCAACTGAGATATTGAGGATGGAACTGAGGTTGTTGGTAAGTGAATGATTGAAATATTGTGTATTGAGCAGTAAGTAAGCCTTGTAATACAGTTGGTGGAATAAGGAAATTAATATAAAATGCACTGACCTTGACAATCTGTGTGTGATCATTAGATCATTTAACATTTTGGTGGCGCCACATTCAGGTCCTCAAGGCTTGTCTCCTGGCACTGACCACCGATTTCTGAAAGGTTCCCCCCACACTCTCCGTATCCTCCCTCCTGGGAATTTCGACTGCTGGGGGCCTCGGCCAGGGAAAAGAGGGAGAAGGTGGCAGCAGCACACTTAGGAGAAGGAGGCTAAGAGATGGATGTAGGGAGCAGAAAGAGGCTGCAGTTGGGAAGTGGTGAGGAGGAGGGGGTTGCAAGAGCAGTGAGGGGTGCAACAGGAAGCAACAAGAGGGGCATGCTTCCTTTTGACCCACTTGAGGGAAGAGAATGCTTTTGACCAAAAGGTAATCTTCAAGGAAATCTCAAGATAAGCACTGAAAAGAATAATGATTTTGGTTCCTGTTCCTAATCCCCCAGAAGGTTTTGCTTGTGCCATTTAGTGTCGCTGAACGAATTACTGTGGGTTACCACTGCTTGTGTGTCTGCGTACTGTGTTTAATTTGAATGGGTTAGCACTTCCTATAAAGGAGCACTAAACGTTTGTGTGGAGATGTTCCATAGCACAATCTTAGGGACTTTGTAATTTCAAAATACAACTGAAAGTACATTCAAAGATATTGATTAATAAATAAAATTGATTATGGATCCATATTTTTTTAATTGCTCAAATGGGAACACAGTTTGGTTTACTTAACCCGACTTTCCACATCCAACTTTAGTTACCAAGTCAACACTCCAGTATTTTCATTACAAAAATTGTTGTAGAAACTCAGCAGGTCTGGAAGTATCTGTGGAGAGAAAGCAGAGTTAATGTTTCGGGTCCAGTGACCCTTCAAAAGTTGTGGAAAGTTGGGTAATTGGCCATTGTCCATATGGGGTCGTAGGTGTCTCATTCTTTTAGAGAGAGGCATGTGGATATGTAGCTTGAGGGGTACTGGCCCTCATCAAATATACAGAACAGTGGGTTCCTCAAGGCACAATTAATCCTCTTACAGTTTCTGGGATGGTGACTGTTGCTCATACACCTACAGTGAAGTGTGGTGGAATGTCTTTGAGTTAATTGTGCCAAAAATCAAAAGTCTTTTGCTTTTAATAAAATACCTTTTGACCCTGCAAGAGATCTTCTAAACAGTGAACCATCGCAATTACTTCCTTTAATAATAACATATGCTTTGGCAGTCTCCCAATATTTCATGCAAAACTCTTGGACCAAATGTTGAAGAGGAGAATTGATGTACTCTCGTGCAGTTTGCAGTGGTAATGACAATGGGACTATCCGTGTTCCTATTACCACTGAAGATGAAAACAATGACAAGCATTCTGACATCTCCACTACAGTCAAAAATTGACAAGATCATTCACTAATGCAGTAAAAACTCTGGAAGAGTTTCATCAATTAAATGAGATGTAACTAAGTTTATAACTGCAAGCTAACTTGACAATCACTGTGAAACATCCTTACTGGCCCTGAAAAATTTTATACCTTTCTTTTGTATTATGATAAATTCGTCCACATATTTCTAAAAATTTAGTTTGTCCTTTTTTCAAAATCTATTTATCTATCTGATAGCCTCTATCTTAATACAGTGATATTTACATTTTACTCTCTGAAGTGTCTTCAACTCCTTGGCTTGCTTTGTGAATACTTCAGTTTGAATGGTGCTGTTACAGTGCCACCAATTCGTTCTCCTGATTTGGTGCCTGATTTGACCTTTCGCTGAGAAAGAAGTGAATTCTCAAAACAGAGATCGCTAGATCCATGTGAACAGTTCTCTGTGAGGTCTCTGGTAGTGTTCTCACTTCACCGCTGACTCTCAAAATATAGGCCATATGTTGGCCTCAGTCTGTGTGGTCTATGACTGGGTGAAGGCTGAAATCTGTTTCACTCCCTTCAGGTAAGAAAATGAAAACCAATTGTACCACAACTAACGACACAGTATGCAGTTGCTTGGAAAATTTCTTCAGCTCAACCGATGAACACCAATGCTACAAATGTGCACAGTAAGTTAGAAAAATTACAAACTCTGATTTTGTTTACATGTCAAGTATTGGATCAAAAAAGGCAAGTTAGCGTCAATCCATATGGTTCCAGTGAGAGCACTCCTGCCTCTTGACTGAGATGTTTGCAGTATCAAGTCCTATTTCAGAGTTTGAGCATGCATTCTGGTGTTTTAGTGAAGGATTGCTATATTTTAAAATAACAAAAAAATTAAGGTCTTTTGTGCATCTCCAATTTGCAATGCTCCACCACTAGTGACAATGTTTATTGTGTAGGCAGTAATTTCTGGAATTCCCTTAATAAACGTGTCCTCTTCATTTCTGAAGAAGGATCCTGACCTGAAACGTCAGCTTTCCTGCTCCTCTGATGCTGCCTGGCCTGCTGTGTTCCTCCAGTTCCACACTGTGTTATCTGTGACTCCAGCATCGGGAATTCCTACTATCTGCTCTTCACGATTTCTTTCACCCTTTAGGATGTTCCTTCCAACCTGAACTCTGACCAGTCACATGTGTGAATAGCTCATTATATAGTTTGATGCTTCATTTTGCTTGCTAATACAATGCTTGAAACAGTTTATTATGTTAAATGCAAGTTGCTGTCTGATGTATGTTGGGTGTAGCTTTTTGTGAAGAAGACCAGGGGAGTTTAAACTTGAATTAACAATATTAGAAACAGATTAAATCATCAATTATTGCTGGACAATTGCTAATGCTGTATTTGGTTATCTGGGATATGGCTGTAGGGTGTTGTGGATGCTTAGTGAACATCAATGACTGTACTTCAGAAGTAATTACTTAGTTGGCTGTTAAGCTCAATGAGGAATCTTCAGGACATGAAAGTTGCCCTGTATAAAGTGTAACTGAAATAACTGTCTGTGGAAGGCAATAAGTTGGCACGATGGCTCAGTGGTTAGCACTGCAGCCTCACAGCACCAGGGACCCGTGTTCGATGCCAGCCTTGGGCGACTGTCTGCGTGGAGTTTGCACATTCTCCCCGTGTCTGCATGGCTTTCCTCTGGGTGCTCCAGTTTCCTCCCACAGTCCAAAGATGTGCAGGTTAGGTGGATTGGCCATGCTAAATTTCCCATAGTGTCCAGGAATGTGTAGATTAGGGGTATGGGTCTGGGTGGGATGCTGCGAGGGTCTGTGTGGACTTGTTGGGCCAAAGGGCCTGTTTCCACGCTGTAGGGATTCTATGATCTAAGTCATTTGATTTTCAGCGTGCAATTCTCTATCAAACCCAAGAGCTGTAGACAGCATTGCACACACCAGGGTGTGAGCTGATTTGTGTGACTCGCTGGCACATAATTCTCTCATTTTTATACATACATCTGTAGAGAAGCATGGGATCAATTGGGTAAACTGCAAAGTTTCAATTATTGATTACATTAATCATAATCGAGGCAGGTTTTGTGATTAACTCACTATGTATTTTTAAAGGAAAGAACTTGCAGTTTTATTTTCTTCTTTCATGGAACCTGGCAAAGTCAGTATTTATTGCCCATTCCTTGAACTGAGTTAAACAAAAACCAAAAGAACTGTGGATGCTGTAAATCAGGAACAAAAACAGAAGCTGTTGGAAATGCTCAGCAGGTCTGGCAGCATCTGTGAAGGAAAAAATCAGCGTTAATGTTTCAGGTTTGGTGACCCTTTCTCAGAACTGAGTTGCTTGTTTAGGTACTTCAGAGGACTATTTAAGACCCAATTGGAATTGTATGTAGGCCAGACTGTAAGGACAACAGATTTCCTTTTTTTTTAAATGACATTAGTGAGCCAGATGGGTTGTTAAAACAAGCTGTGATGGTTGTCGTGGTCACCACTGCAGATGTGTTGAATTTTTAATAGCCACCAGCTACTATTTTGGAATCTGAATCCATGTGCAGTGGCATCAGCCTGGCCCTCTGGGTTCGGTGACATTACTGTCTTGTGTTAAACTCAGGGCATTGTATATAGACCTTCTCTGATGCCTTTCCGAATCTCAGCATATTCAAAAGCACTTCACAGACAATCTGAAGCAATTCATTGACTACAAATTCATTGTGAAGTACAGTCACTATTGTATGTTGGAAATTTGAGAGCCAATTTATGAACAGCAAACTCCCACAAAGAGCAATGTGGTGATGGTCAGGTAATTTGTTTTAGTGATGTTTGTTGTTGGATAAATATTGGCCAGGCCAACAGGAGTCACTTCCCTGTTCTTCTTTGCAATAGCATAGCAGGCTTTCTTGCATCCAGCTCAGTGGATAGGCTGGACCTTTGTTTTAATGTTTCATTCAACAGATGACAGCTCAGATGGTGCAGCTCTTGTTCAGCAGTGCAGTGGAATATCAACCTGGATTCAGTGGTCAAATCTCTGGAGTGGTCAATTGAACACTCAACCTTCTGACTCAGGAGAATGTAACACCATTGATACCATTTTTCTGTTCTTCTACATAGTCAAACACCTCAATGAAGTGATGCTCAGAGTTGTCAGTATCTCATGCAGATTGTTCAGCCACATTTTATAATCTTTAGTTTTAAACATATTAAGAGTAAATGAATTCTTGAAGAAATAGAAGGCAATTTTGAGTTTTGGCACTGTGACTAACTGAATTTCCGCCATCTCGTCTGAGTAATTTTCAAATAATACTGCTCAGAATGTGACAGCGCTGTTGAGATCTTTTTCTGAAATTGTCCTCCCAGTGAGGAACCTTACACTGGAGGAGTAGTGTATGTCATTGAGCTTTCAGTGGCATCATCAATACGGTCTGGCGGGAATGCCTGAAACCAAATTCAACTAGAGAACAAGTGATGGTTATATGTTCATTCAGGGATAATTGGGAGTTGGCTGGATGGCTGGTTTGCGGTGAAGAATAATGCCAACAGCATCAATTCCCTACAGGCTGAGGTCACCATGAAGATCCTGTCTTCTCAACCTCACTTCTCGCCCGAGAGCCTCAGGTTAAACTCCCCATACGTCATCTCACTCACAGTCCTATCAGACTATGGTGACTTTACTAATTGCGGGAGAATTGGATGTGTTTATGGGGAGCAGATGTTTGAGCTGGAATAAAACACTGAACAGAAAAGTATATGCTTAGACTGTGTCTAACCAACCTGTAGACTCTGTGGTTGATTGTTCAGGTACCTGGAGTCCAATGGGTTTTGACAATTGCAACCCAAGTTGCAGTGGGTTCAAGCTTCAGCTTAAAGCAGCCCATTATTTCACCAGCTGGCCACCCATATCTGGAAAGCACACAGGTTTTGATGACTAACCAGTTAATGAAGGTTCTCTTAAGCAATTTACTCAAATGGGTAAAGTGAAATAGTGGATGACAGTGGAAATCTGAATTTAGCAATTCCGGCAGCATCCAGGAAGGAAGGAAAAACCGTTTTGAAGTTTCAGAACTGACCAGCTGATTCGTTCCAGTAGTATATGTTCCTGTTTTCTAAAATCAACTGTTTCCATGTCTTTCATTTCCCACCAAAGGTGCAATGCAGAAACTGAAGAGGTCGAACAACCCTGTACAGAAACACAGAACACAGTCTGCAGGAAGAAAGGTGCATATCTTTTTTTTTTCTCTTTTCTTCTTCATGTCGTACATAGGACTGATTTAACAAACAAAAAGAAGGAGCAGTAGTAGGCACTAAACTGGCAAACAGTCACCTTGATGCAATGTTACAAAATTGCAATGACCTGACAAAGTTAAGCAATATATAATGTTTATACAATGCATTCTAACCACAGAATCCCTACAGTGTGGAAGCAGGCCATCTGGCCCATCAAGTTCACACCAACCCTCCGAGGAGCATCCCTCCTAGGCCCAACCCCTACCCTATCTTTGCATTTCCCCTGGCAAATCCACCTTGCCTGCGCACTGTGGGCAATTTAGCATGGCCAATCCACCTAACCTGCACATCTTTGGAGGAAACCGGAGCACCCGGAAGAAATCCACACAGACACGGGGAGAATGTGCAAACTCCATACAGACAGTCACTTGAGGGGAGAGTCAAACCTGGTTCCCCGGCGCTGTGAAGCTGCAGTGCTAACCACTGAGCCACTGTGCCGTCCCACTGACTAGAGTGGCTCCTGTACAAAATGTGTTGTCCATGAGGAAACAGATTCTCCTGTTTTGTGACCTCTTGGTACAAGTGGCTGCCACTCTCAAATCGTCGTAATCATTTACATTTGTCTGTTTTACAGGTGGCCAATCAGTACCTGTTGCTGCTGTGGTGATACCAATTATACTAGTACTTGTAGCAATTGTTGCCATTTTGTACAAGAAAAAGAAATACCTTCGATGTAAGTCAAAAGAAACTTAAACTGTTTTACTCTGAAAAGGAATGACAGCAACTTTATTCTTTCTGATATTGGCCAGTATGATTTCAAACAAAATGACTTAGATACATCTGGTAAGGAATCAACTGTTGCTCTGACCTGTCTCTAAGCAATTAATAAGCCATTGCAAGGTGCTAGTTGTAAAAGTAGACTTCTGTTAAACATTTCTCCAGTCTTGTGATTTCGACAAAATAAGGCCCAGATTTTAATTGTCTGCATTGAAGAAATGATGTGCACTGTTCACCTTCCTTCGAGCTGGCCACAGAGTTTCTGTGGACTTTTCAGCACAGTTATTATCCAGTTTCATGTCTATTTCAGGGTGATATTTTGATGGGAGCAGAGGGTTTAGGTTATGTCTCCACAGATAGAGATGACTGGATTTTTCACATGATCGGATTGGAGAAGCTCATTGAGGCATTCCAAGTCCAAACCAATAAGGAAGATGACAGAAGTATAAATTCTTAATGTATAGAAAGCTCAATAAAAATTGGGAAACTCAGAAGGGATTAAGGAAAAGAGACAAAAGAGAGATTCTGGGGAAAAATGTTTTAAACTGTAAATGCACCAGCCCTAACTTATTCACCCATTTTTGACACGGACCTATTGAGTAAGTGCAATACCTCGCAAGTTCACTAGCAGCCTTTTCAAGCCTGTTGGTGAAGATTGCAACGACAAACTGTATGAAAGAGCAGGCTATCTCTGGCAACAGCTTCTGGATGTTTGCAATGAACAGTATATGTACATATCTTAAAAACCTGTTTCCTGAATTGCCCCAAATAATGGTGGTCATTGATGGTCTTGCCATCATTATTCCCAACCAAAATCATTGAAGCAGTTTATTTGGCTGTTATCACTTTTCTGTTTGTGGCAACATTCTGTGCACAAGTTAATTGCTGCATTTTCTACATTCCAATATTGATTGCACTTTGAAAGATTGGCTGCAAAGTTCTTTGGAAGATCCTGAGAGTGCGAAAAGTTTGGTATAGAGGCCAATCTTCCTTTATTTTCACACTTTAAGAGCAAACTAACTACATTGCACCTATAAAACCATTATGACATTTAATGGCACTTGATCCTTGATATAAATGACTGGTCAAGAACTCTTCACAGGATTTTAGCTACCACATTATTGGCATGTTGGGGCACAGCAAATATTCTGTATGTATCAGAGGAAAAAAAAAGCTGCCAGTAATTTCTAGTCCACTTGCTTAATGCTTTTTTCTCTTCTGGGACATGGGAGTTGCTGCTGGCCAGCATTTATTACCCATTCCTAGTTGCCCTTGAGAAGGTGGTAGTGAGCTCCCTATTTGTACTGCTGTAGTCCATGAGTTGTAGGTCAACCCACAATGGCTTTAGGGAGGGAATTCCAGGAATTTGACCCAGCGACACTGAAGGAACGATGATATATTTCCAAATCAGGATGGTGAGTGGCTTTGGAGGGGAACTTGCAGGTGGAGGTGCTCTCATGTATCTGCTGCCCTTGTCCTTCTAGATGGAAGTGGTCGTGGGTTTGGAAGGTGCTTTGGTGAGACAAGAGCTTGCTTTTTCCACGGGAAGAGTGAGCAGTCTCTGAGATGCCAGTGACGACTTGAATTCTCTCTGTGGGACATAGCAGAAGTGACCACAGTTATGTTATTGCTTTCCAGAGTCACAGTTAGCTCTCTCATGTTTAACTACATTTCAAAGTCTGAAATGCAGCTAGAAACTTAGTGAAGGTCAAGTGGTTGTTATCCTATGGGTTACTGTCTCGTTGGAGAGAGACAACTGGTGGGCACCACACCTCCGGTAAGGGACTAGGTAGACAAGGTGGGACCTTCATGTTAACCTCAGACCAGTATGAGATTTGAACCTGCACTGTTAGCATCAGTCTGTATCACAAACTAGCCATCCAACCAACTCTGTTAACTGACCCCCTAGAGGTAGTATATCTCCAGCCCTTTTCTGAAAAATCATTTTAAGCATCATAAATAACTTTAATGTTGTTATCATTTAGCTAGCAATAATTCTATAAATTAGTTTCAGATCAGCGCCTAATCTACTCCTCTGTCATTGCTAAAAAATATCTTTTCCTATTTCAGGCAAAAAGACGTCTGGTGATAAGGTAAAGTCTAATTACATTTTTTTTGTTAATATAGACATAGTATACTAACGTTTTAATAGAAGTTGTATTTTGGAATCCCATTTCAGTAAATGGAACTTTTCAATGAGGTGAAAGCTATTTCTAGATATAAAGTGTCGTATTGCCTTCTGAACATTTAAAAATGATGGAATTCAGAACTCTCAATATTTCTACACATCGCAATCTTTGATTTTCCTTATGTGGCAATATATAGTTGCAAGTAAATTATCTGTATGGCCCAGAATTTGCAGTGTGCTCAATTGATTTTACACTGTATGATCCAGGTACTGGTTTTTCATAGGGCAGAGAATCACACTCAATTCTGTTTGCCACATTACACACGAAAGGTTTTGAAATCTGACACACCAAGTATTTTAAATGAATTTGTTATGGCTTATTGGAAAGTCTTTCACCTGTGAGTCCATGGTTATGGTTTGAACTTCCATGAAATCGTGTGATTCTTTTGCATTTCTATTAAAATCTAGATATCTTTTCATCTATGTCTGACATGTTTGCTAATTGATTTCTGTTTCTTCTCCACAGCCAAGCAACTGGATAAATGGTAATTGTTTGCTGACTGAGACTTCCTTACTTGAGCAGTTGTAATTCTTTGTCATCAGCTGAGCGATTTTCCATAATTGCATCCATCGTTAATGTATCTCAATTTTTTTCCCCCAATCTAAAGTGTTTTTCTGCTGTTGACACTAATCTTTGGGGTGCTCATTCTATCCCAGGATCATATTCCCTTTTATAGAGTCATACTGCATAGAAACAGACTCTTCGGTCCAATCAGTCTATGCCGATCATAATCCCAAACTAATATAGTCCCATCTTCCTGCGCTTGGCCCATATCCCTCCAAACCTTTCCTATTCATGAACTTATCCAAATGTCTTTTAAACATTGTAACTGCATCCACCACTTCCTCTGGAAATTCATTTCACACATGACCTACTGTGTTTAAAAAAAAAAAAATGCCCCTCATGTCTATTTAAATCTTTGTCCTCTCACCTTAAAAATATGCTCCCTAGTCTTGAAATCTCCCACCCTAGGAATTTTTGTCCTGCCTTCCCTGCTTTAACACACAATTAAGAATGTTATAGTAAATGTACATGTCAATATTTAATCCAGTATGACTGCATTCTGTGTCTTCAGCCTATTTACAGTAGGCAAAGCCTGTGATATCCTCATATCTATTACACACTTTTCCTTCTTATCCTGCTCTCTGCACATATGTAGATGTATTTGTAGTCCGTTTGATCACAACTAATGCACACAAAATTGCAATTTTTCCATACGACAGATTTTGTCTCCGTATCAGAACCTCTCGTTGATTGTCATTTACATGCAGAATTAAGATGCAAATTGGAATGCACTCTACCTAAGTACCAATATTAGATTTGCCAGAGTGGGTTGGCCCACTTGCTGATGTCATGATAGTTGTAGTAAGGCATAAAGTGGATAGCTATCCAAGTCTTTGGGGACATTATGCTTAAAGCAGGGGTATTATTTCACCCAAAAGAAGCTTGGTAACAGGTTTCTATTGAACAATGTTTGGTGAAAGTTGATAATCAGTAAGTCAATATAAGGCCCTCAGTATTGTAACATTCTATCGCATCACAGTTTAGTATTTGAGCCCTTTCCATTCACTGGTTTTTAGTGAGCACTTGTAATGGCTGTGGCATTTAATTTTTCTGCATCTTTAATTGTGGACTGAAATGAGGAAAACACTATTTTAAATCTAAGGATTGGTGGAGGATTACAACACGTATTAAATGCAAGTGATCTGACACTTGGAACCACCATTTTCACAGCTGTTTCTTTGAGCTGTGGTTCAAGTGTTTTTCCAGATGATCTGGGGCTGAGAGGCTGTGTCGAGTTGGAGGTTTGGTTGGTACAAGTAGCTGATTGGTCTGAAAACTATTGACCAGTTATCAATGACAAAGCCTTGCCAAAAACTGTATGATTGATTCTGAGGTAGTTGAACAACTTGGAGATGTGAACAAGAAACAGAGACGTCTTCAGGTCTCCACCAGCTCAGCAGCCCTCTGTTCCTACAGTAAAAGCCAATTTAAATTCGAAGAAAACCAGTTTTTCTTCCCTTTAGTTGCTGTATGCTGCAACTTTTAACTGGTAAATCAGAGACCTTCTATCAATGAACCAGCCACCCTGTGCCTCTTGCAAACCAGTGGAAACGTTCAGAGAAATAGGACTGAGAAGCAATGTTCTGATCAGCACAAGAATCATAAGGACCGTGTCAATAACCCTGTGGCCAGGAATTACTGAACAGCTTTCCCAGACTTTCCCTCTGTTCGTAACGCCTGTGTTTATTTTCCCGTCTGTCTCTGAGTGTGCCTGTGTAAGGGTAAGTTTAAAAGGAGGTTAAAGTTTTAATTAGTAGAGTTACATGCTAATGCTTTAAGATTGAACCTAGAGTCTAATTACTTGTAATTAATTGTAAATGTAGTTAAGGACAAAAACCTGGTTCTTGCTTTCTGTCGACCTGGGTGTTAAAGACTGGTAGACTGGGGAGTTTTGCATACTTGAATAAAATCTTTAACTTTTGTGATGACTCTGGAAATAATGGGTCTTGATTTCTAGTAATTCCTGGCCACAGGATTATTGACATGGTCCTTATGATTCTAGTGAGGAGTAACACACTGAAGTCAATGTAAAATAAAATTGGGTTGCTGGTGTGTTCCTGCCAGGATTCTGCAGGGGTGGTTGGGGTCATTTGGTTAAACTGAATCCCTCTGTATTTCTCAATTAGTTGACAGTGGTAAACGAAATAACTCTGTGTGATTATTCCCATACATCTGTCTGATGAGATTGCCTTCTAGAACTTGTTCATTCATAAAAGTGGTAGAGATTAGGTATATCTAGTAAGGTTAAAACTGGACATTAACTTCAAGAGGTGTTTTTGTGCAGTAGCTGGGACTATGTGAGATGTAATGGGAAGCAATGTGAGTCACCTTTCAACTGAAGGCTTGGTTCGTGTTTTTAAGAACATTTTTGAAATTTACCTACATTAGTTTGTGTTTCAGGTAAAGAACAGACTAAACCACCAGAGGTAAGTGAGAAATAGTAGCTATAGTCAAAGCTTTTCATTGAGTAGAACCTAGCAACTAGTCAAAGCAATAATGACCAGAGGTCATCTGCCTTATGGCAGGGATGAACAAGGAGAGATTATTTTTTCTTTCAGTCAAATATTGCATGGGTTTGATAATACAATATCAAGTGTTCCAGCATCACCGTCTCAGGGCATCTTGGAATGTGCAATAAATATGGCCTTCCCAGTTATGTCCGCTTCCCAAGAATGTGCAGTATTACTGTTGAGTATTCCTGGTGAGGAATGCTGCTGACAGGGATCACTAATCAGGGCATTCACTGACCTGAGGCCTTCCTGTACAGTCCTTTCAAACAAACGGATTACAGTCCAATGATCTCACCATTTCCTAACCAGTGCTCCCTATGAGCATTGCACCTCACTGGGGAATGCTCAGTCTGGCAAATTGTCGCTTAAGGCGTAACTGTAACTATGTTGTGTGGTCCATATTGCCGTAAACAGGTTCTGATAGTATTAATATGAATTATAAGTATTGTTCTATCAAAATGCAAGATACCCCAAATAATAAACTTATAAAGATATTTTGGCCGTGAGGGGCTTTCCTATAATTTGCATTCTTTTCCCCTGCACCAGCAGAATGGAAACGGTATAAGGGATGTGCACTCATTCTATAACCACAGGAACTGCTGGAAATTCCCTCCTGCTCCTATTATTGGACTGTAACATTTTGTAATATTTGATTATATTCTGCAAAATAGCACGTGCAAATGGCTATAATGTGACCGTTTGTGTGATGAATTATAACTTGAATCTCAGTTGTGCTTGCGTAGCTTCACAACATTAATTTGAAGTTTCAACACTTTGCCATGTTCCCAGTTATAGCTCTGCCTCATAGGATAACACATATTCTAATTGTTTTCCTTTTCATTCTTGCAGGTACCAGGTACTGTATGCAATCCACTGGTCTGTACAGAAACTTTTCTCATAGTTCGGCTCTTCTTGGGTTATATCCTTTACAGCATTTTAAATGATCATGCAGAGATATGTAGGCCTGTAAGGGGCCATTGTGAGTCATATTGGAAATTAATTATTTTCAGTAATTGTGTAGTGACCGTGATGCTGCATTTAGTTGGTTTTGTTGGTCCATTTACCTCAGGTGTTGAAAATTCCTGATATAGTTTATGCTCAGACTTGATGCTATAACTGTTTCCACAGAACCAGAGAAGATATAACAAAAAGGTTTAATGTTGCTAATTGTTGCTTTTGAAAGAAAAGATCTCTGCCTAACTGAATAACTAATCAGAGAGCTGAAAGGTTAATGAAGAATTCATCAACTGTATTTTGCAGCTGCAGCAGTAGAGGTTTGAGTCAGTTGTTTTCAGTTTTAGTCACTTAAGCAGAGCTACAGAATGACACAGAATTGGTGATGTCGTAAGTTCCAGTTATGTCTGTGCTACTCCATTTGTGCCATTATTGAAAAATGTTTCATGATGCCACAAACCATTGGAACTGTAGTGGGCAGTGTACAACATTAAAATGTCATTTGGCCAACCATCTGCAGGAACAATTCAAAATAAATTCTAAATGTATACATTGCCAATGCTTAAAATCTGAAATGAGAACAGGATGTTCTCAAATACTCAGCAGATCTGACAGCATCTATGGAGAGAAAAACAGAGAACTTAGGAACATAGGTGCGGGGGTAGACCATTCAGCTTCTCAAGCCTGCTGTGCGATAAAATGTTATCTCCGTATCCATTTATGCCGTTGGTATTTAGAAATCTGTCAATCTCAAAACATATGCAGTGACTCAGCTGCTGCAGTCCTTGGGTTACAGAGTTCCAAAGATTCACAACCTTCTAAGTAAAATAAATTCTCTTCATCCAAGTCCTCAGTGGCTACTCCCTTATTTTTAAATTGTGCTCCCTGTTTCTAGTATTTTGAAGTTTTCGATGAAATCATCTCTCATTCTATGAGATTCTGGAGAATACAGGCCCAGTTTGCATGATATTTCTTCATAGGACAGTCCACCAACCTGGAAACCAGTCTGGTGAGCCCCATGCACTGTCGCTATGGGAATAATATCTTCCCTGAGAATAAGGAATTACACGCAGTATTCCAGGTGCAGTCTAACCAAGCTTCTATATGATTAAAGCAAGACTTCACTACTCCTGTATTCAAATCTTCTTCTAATAAGAATAATGTTCCGTTAGCTTTACTAGTAGCTTGTGCACCTGCACATTAGCATTCAGTGACTTATTGACAATGACACCCAGGTCCTTCTGTATATCTACATCTACATCTACATTTCATAATTTGTTATTATTTAAGAAATAATTCTGCACATCTATTTCTCTTACCAAAGAAGAAAGCTTCACGTTTCCACGTTATTTCCATTTGCCATGTTGTTGTCCACTCACTACATCCACTTGAAGTTGCTTTACATCTTTCTCACAGCAAACATTCCCACCTTGCTTTCTGTCATTTGTGAGATTGGGCATATTACATGTGGTCTCCATGTCCAAATCACTGATATTTCAATTGTGAATAGGTGGGGTCTAAGTACTGATCTTTGAATACCCCATTACTCAGTCCTCCAACACAAGATGCCCCGTCTATTTCTGCTTTGCTTTCTATCTGTTAACCAGTCTTTAAACCTTGCCAGTGTATTACCTCCTATCCCATGTAGTTTAATTTTGCTAACGACCATTCTGTGGGAGATGTCATGAGTAGCCTTCTGAAAATCCAAGGATACAATAGGTACTGACATCCCTTCATCAGTTCTGTTGGTTACATCCTCAAAAAAAATTCCCAACACATTCGTCAGACTTGATTTTCCAACTTGCCCTAATTTCTTCAACAGTGCCATTTCCTACCTTCCAATCTGCAGGAATCATTCCAGAATCCATAGAATTTTACGAAGATGATAGTGGATGCATCAACAATCTTCATAGTTACCTACTTTCTGGTCCTACGGACTTAACAGCTTTCAGTCCCTCTAATTTCTCAAACACAATCTTTTTACCAATACAAATGTCCTTCAATTCCTCTTTCTCACCAGTACCTTGGATCTCTAATTCTGTGGGATTTGTCATTATCTTTCTCAGTGAAGTTTGGCACAGTAATAATTTAGCTTCTCTGCCATTTTTCTATTGCAAATTCTCTTGACTGTGCTCAGAGTTACACTCCCTCTACACTGACCCCATCAAATGTTCCTAGGTAAGGTGCAGAGTAAAGGTTTGACATTCTAACCTCTGGTAAAGCTACTCACAACCTTTTTAATTCTGAAGTTGCAAATATCCAAACTCTGATCACTTGTAGGGATCTGGAAATGATTGAAACTTCTGTAGTGATGGATTTGACATTCATTCCAACAGTTAAACAAAGTCAGTTTGTTAACCATTTTAAAAATTCAGAAATTTATTTTGCACTTTGCAGCTCATCAAACTGTCAGATGAGAAAATCAGATAAAATGTTTGGAATGAAAATTGCTTAAAGGGCGAAGAAAAAAACCCAGACTTGTCCATCTTTTCTGTGCTCTGCAAGAGTTATCACAGCCTTTTCTCAAAGAGGTCTGAGTTGGTTCTGACAGAAGATTACAACATCAAACATTAACTCAGTTTCTTTTTCCATAGATAACTAGCTGAGTATTTCCAAAATGAACCCCTTTGCTTTGTTCTTTATCACATAGTTCTCACTTCTCTGTGTGATCATTTTAAATTAGTCATTGACTTGTCAATCAGAGGAAATGGCTGTTTTCTATCATATACTGCTGCTAAAGCCATGTGATTTAATGCAACATGGATTCTGAAATAACTCCACAGAGGCTGGTATCCCGTCACCAAGCCCCCCTTTATTTACATGTGGAGAGTGCTTGACACTGATCCAGCTCCCTCGGAGTCAGCAGTCAGAGTGAACAGAGATCCTGTCACTCCTGTTTATATCTGTCAGCCGGGGCTCCCTGATTGGACCAGATTAACAGCCCCAGTCAGGGAACTCAGATTATGAGGGCCACCTAGCTGACCTCGTTACAACCACTACAGATTCAATGAGGCATTGATAAAGTCCGCATCGCAAAACAACTTTGAAGGAGCACTTAGCATTCTGGATGATTGCCAGAACCAGCAGGCCCATCCTCGCTGTTAACCCTGACCATTCGTGACTTAAAATTTAATTCCTTTTGAAGATCACTGTCTTCTTAAAGAATGTATAGCTGTGCTGATGGATTGGTTCAAGCAGAGGTGAAGATGGTTGATACTTGCTTTTAAGTTGAAAGTTAAGGTCTGTTCTGGGTAAAGAGTGCTGCATTAGGAATAATTAAGCAGATTTTTCTGAATGTCTGCTGCTATTACAAACTCTATTGGATTGTGATGATTCCTGTTCTGACCATTTACACAGTTTCCATTGAGATTGAAGTGCACGATATTCCAGAGTTTTCTCTTTCCTGTGACCTCCACAATTCTCTGAACTGTAACCCCTTAACTATCAGTGTTTTTTTTTTAATTTGCATGCGGGAACAAGGCAAGCTTGATGTCATCTAATCATTACATCTGGATATATTTGATTTTTTTTTAATGAAGTAGATTGTACAGCACAGAAACAAACCATTCAATCCAACTGCACCGTGTTAGTATTTTTACTCCACATGAACTTCCTCCTACCCTTTTTATTACCAAACCCCCACCAAACAGAAGCATCTCCTTTTAGTACGCTGAAAGGACTATTCTATTCCTCTGAAACACCCTGGTCTACTCCTGTATCACTCCAACACCCAGGCCTCTTCATGCTTTAGGAGATGTAGCGCCTACCCTTTTTTCCCACTTTCCCCACTTGCCCCTCACTATCCAAGTGCTCTGGAACACCCCTTCCAGCTGAGGCAGCAAATTACATAGACCTGTTTCAGTTTGCCATCTTGAATTTTCTGCTCACAATATGGTCTCCTCTCCACTGGGTAGATCAAGGGCAGATGGGGCTTTGTGGAACACATCTGTCGGTCTGTAAACATGGCCCTGGCTTATGGTGGCCCATCATTTAAATTCTAAGCCCTGCTCCCATGCTGAAGGTTTTGTCCTTGACTTAGTGTATTGCTGCCCAAAGCTTCCACTGGAACAGCACCTTACCTTTCAGTTAGGTACACTACCACCTACAGATTCAACATCGCGTCCCATAATTTCAGACTATAAATGCTGTCCCTTCATTTTGTTTCACTTTCTTTTCATCTTGTTTCATTTTCTTTTAAAATTTGTTTTTTTTCCTGTACACTCTCTTTCAGACAGCAGCACATTTTCTCTACGGACAACTTTTGTTTATCTCTTCCTCATCGCTGTTCCTTTTGGACCTATAGAACTAATTCTTCTGTCACTCCACCTCACCTGACTTCCACTGTATCTTCCTTTGTCTTTGTCCCATGCACACATTGCTCAAAAGATATTACACTTTTAACGTTCTCTGTTCTGATGAAAGGTCATTAACCTGAAACGTTAACTTTGTTTCTCTCCTCACAGGTGCTGCTGAGTTTCTCCAGCACTCTGTATTTGTTTAAGATTTGCAGCATCCATGTAGTTCTGCTGCGTGATTAATATATCCTTCTATTACTTTAACCACTTGTAACCTCACTCGACTTATCCCCACGTCTGACTGTCCACTTAGAAGGGTTCCTCCTGAATCCCTGATTGGATTTATTGGTGACTATCCCCCATGTGTGGAAACATAATTTCTGCACTTATTTTATGAAACCCTTCCATAATTTTAAAGTGAACCTTTTTAGCTCAATCTTCTGTTCCTTACAGGGAAAAAAACCCAGCCAGGCTGTTCAGTTTTTGTTTCTTTCAGTTTTGTCACTATTTTTACCAGGGTATGTAGTGAATCTTGGCCCTTCGCAGGTGGAGGTTGAGTGTGTGAAGAAAAGTGGTTTCTCGCTTAAAACGGAATAGTTGTTGTTGTGAATATCAGGGAGGAGCTACCTAAGGGACTTTGACTTACAATCTTCCATTCTTCAGGCTTGGTATTCAATGAGTGATGTCTTTTCTCTTTCTTGAACAGACATTGAGCTTACTGAAGAACATTTGCAATTGATGGTGATGGAAATTGAACCGAGAATGTACCACGAGCTTGGGATAAGCTTAGGGCACAGTGAACCTAAGGTGCAGCAGATTCGAGCTGATTACCATGATGATATAAAGCAACAGGGTTATCAAATACTGTATGCCTGGTTCCAGGCTCATGGAAAGAAAGGCGCATTCCCTGAATTGATTAACACGTTCTGGAGAATGGGATATGTCACCACTGCCGAAAACATTATGGAAAAAATTATTCCAAAAAGTGAGGCTACAATTGACGCCAGCACACTGGATGGGAGTGAAAATGGCAGAATGGCAGATATGGTGTCTTAGTTGGTTCACTAGTTCTCTCAGGTCCTGTGTCATCAGTGATTTCAACGTTTGTTACAAGTTGCAAATTATCATCTTCAGGCTAGCGTAGTTCTGTGCTCAAATGATGTAACTATCCCAGGCGTGACTCTATAAATGAATTAAAAATCAGGATTCCAGCAAAGATTGACAAGAAAGTTACAAAGAGGACATTGCACTGATTGATCTAAAATTAATTACTGTTATCATTTAGCCGTAGAACCCTTAAAGAATCTTTTGGCAAACACAATCTCTCCCTGGTATGATTTTATTTACTAGAGAGATAGAATCTCATTCTATTTACTTTGATTATATAAGTATTAACATAAGAAGAGTGAGTTACATGTGAGGTGCAAAAGAGATGTCTTCACACTAAGTCTATCATGCAAGTGATTAGACACGGAATGAGAAACATCCACTTCTAGTTTAATAGAGTAACTTGGATATTAATGAGTCTGCTAGTCCATAGTTGGCATGGATTTATCTAGTTTACCTATTCCAACAAAACTGTATCTGCCTGCATTTTAATCCAAATTTGACATCTTTTACGCTGATGTTTGTGACCTTGGGTGGAACTAATCAGATTCTTCAGGTTTGCCACACTGTGTTGGACTATTTTATATCCTGCCATAAGTAGCAGTTTGACTACTCCACTTTACACTGCTGCATGGGAAGGTTAGATTTCTAACGAATGGCTAGATAGGCTGGGACTTTTTTCCACTGGAGCATAGGAGGTTGAGAGGTGACCTGATAGAAGTTCATAAAATAACGAGAGGTATAGATAGAGTTGATGGTACTTGCCTTTTTCCTAAGATAGGGAATTTCAAGTACTAGGGGACACATTTTTAAGGTGAAAAGAGAAAGATTTAAGAAAGACATAAGAGGCAAATTTTTTACACTGAGGGTGGTCTGTCTGTGCAATGAACATCCTGAGGAAGTGGTGGATGCAGGTACAATTACACCATTTAAAAGACATTTGAATGTATATATGAGGAGGAAAGCTTTGGAGGGATATGGGCCAGGAACAGGCAGGTGGGACTAGTTTAGTTTGGGATTATTGTTGGCATGGACTGGTTGGACCGAAGTGTCTGTTCTGTGCTGTATGACGCTATGACTCTATGATTAACTCTGGGTTGCTTGAGGGTGGAAGAAATATGGGCCCATGTGCCAGAAGATAATTTGCAATACGGGTATATCCGCCCTCTCGTTTACAGATCTCTTCCTACAGTAAGTGACACATAAGGCAGATGAAACACATGTTCATGTCGTCTTCCAAGTTTAATTTTCTCCTGGAACAGGTCACCTATGATAGGGTTAGGGTTAGGGTTAGGGTTAGGTTTAGCACAGTTAGTTGTCAGCACAGGTTGTAGCCTGAGAAGCATCAGGCTACATTGAGAATGTCTAAGCATGGACACGCTCCCATTTGTACACTTCAATGGGCACATTGAAAGGATTTACAGGGTGATAATTGATCTGTTTGGCAACATTACCATCAACCAGGCCATCAAAGCCTGATGGAGTGTTTGAATCCAGAGTCAACCACTTTGCCACAAACCACTTTGTCATTTATTTACTAGCTCAGTTTAAAACCAAGGAATTTGTCAAAACTTGGTAAAACCTTCATGCATTTGTGCCAAAACATAATGTCAGACTTATTTGGCAGATTAATCTCAGCCACACTTCCTTTTAAATACCTTTTATTACAACCTATTTTTCATTGTTTAGATACCTATTTTTATTACTAAAATTTTAACATTTTTAGCGTTTGTTACAGGATTTTATTCGTATTCAGATTGAGAATGACGTTCAACAATTTAAGCAAATATTGTTTGAAAAGTGCAAATGCTCAATTGTATAGTGCAATTCTACCAGCATTGAACAATATGGAGAATATAGAACAAAAGGATATTTTAAAAAACTGTGTCTCCAATTACTCAGCAGTGTCTGTCTTTAAGTACACTTATTTTTGCAGTGAGTTACGAGGCAACAGCGCTCTCTACTGACATTGAAGAACGTTAGCTCAGAGATCTGCAATCTCTATGGTGAGAACTTTTTATTTCCTGAAGACAGTTTAAATCTGGCGGCAAGTCATCGTTGACTGCAGTCTGTGGGTGCTTCAGTAGTTTCTTAGAAGAAGTGTAGAATCAGGGACTGTATTTGAGCTATTCTGTACACTTCAGATGTGGCTGTCAGTTTGTGTGCGGTAATATTGCCAGTTGCCGCAGTTTCACGACTAACTGCAGAGCAAAATCTGTTATATTGTTCCATGTGCCATCATCCTGTTATGAAAATGCTCTGTTCTTGCAAGTGCCTGTTTAACATAAATTCGTCTTGACTATTTTTGTGAGTGCAATATAGACCAATCTCTGAATTGCAGACAAAGAGCAAAGCAAAAAACTTTGACAACGTATCACTCCAAAGTTTTAAAGAGGTGTGCGCTATGTATTAGTGGATTAATGTTTTTTGTGCAACCATCAAAATAAGTGCTCGGGCTGTTGTGATGCAGTGGTAGTATCCCTTCCTGTGAGCCGGGGGGCCTTCATTCAAGAATCCCATCCCCAGAGGTGTGTTATAACATTTCTGAAGAGGTTGATTAGAAAATATTGGAAAACAAATACTGTAAACACAGCATTGCCCCATTGTTTGACAGCGAGCTGTAATTCTTAAGGGCGTGTGCAGGTCCATAAATCATCGGCTCAGATTTCTAAACTATGGGGCTTACTGAAGGTGCATCAGCCTGAAGAAGAGTTTACATGTTAATGAAAACAACACGAATGCCTAACTGTACTGTTATCTCTTTCATCACTAATGTGTTCAATAAATGTTAGTATTAAGGAAACAAAATGATGATTCAAAACAAATTTATTTGCAACAGTTTTTCTGCTACTTTATTATAAACGCTGAACACATAATTAGAGTCTGGAGGTAGGTACTGCATCGCTGGGAGCCTTTTCTGTCTTTTATCCAGTTCTCGGCTGGTTCAATTCTTACTCCCCCTGACAAGTCTCAGCAGCATTATTGTGGAGAGTTTTACATTTTTCTGCTATTGTGTTTTTTTTTTGTTTGGAGAAGTATTTCCTAACAGCAAGCTCTAATACACACACAAGTAAAATTCAACTTTTCAGAGAGAAGGCAAAGTTAGAAAGTAATGTCTGTAAGCTGACCTGCAGTAAAAAAAAACCCGAAGTGATTAATTAAGAGTGATACCAGTAAAACATTGATATTCATAACAGACCCTGCATTGTGGAAAGAGGCCATTCAGTCCATCAAGTCTGCACTGACCCTCCAAAGAGCATCCCACCCAGAAGCAACTGCCCCCACCCCCATAATCCTGTATTTCTCAAACCTGCAGAAAATTTAGCTTGGCTAATCCATCTAACCTGCACATCTTTAGACAGGAGGAGGAAGCCCACACAGCTATAGGGAGAACATGCAAACTGCACAGAGATGGTCACCCAAGGCTGGAATCAAACCTGGGTCCCAGATGCTGTGAAGCAGTAGCACTAACCACTGAGACACTGTACTGTTCTGGACTGCTGAAAAGTGAATTCTAGTTTGCCCAGATAATAAACTAACAGTGTGAATCTACAAATGGTCCATTCAGCCCAATTATAAATAAATCTTTCAACTTTTTAATGAGTGTACGTTTAAAGCAGCAGCTGTCCAATCCACGAATCAGCTTTGGCTTTTTCTTCCAGTGATGAAGACCTGCAGTGAAGAGACATTAAGGAGCAGCTCAAAACCAACAGGAAAACACTGTCTTGTGCCAATAGATCAATCCCAGCTTGGATTACAACAGACCGGCCAGTCTGCCTGTCACCCCAATGTCCGATCTATCATGTTCAAAAAGTCTTATCTATTTGTGGTTTCCCATGTCCCTGCTATTGAATGTCTCCGAGTTCTGAATGGCAAAGTGAACAGTCAGTGGCATGATGTGTTTTCACACTGGCACAAGTTCTCCCTACCTGCCTTTTATAGCCTGTCCTGAGCTGTAATTCAGTCTACTGATGCTAGCGCTGGACACTGTAACCCACCTCATCATGTAATTGTGTCCGCCCAATTTTGTGTAAAATTACCCAGTTACATCCTGTGCACAAAATGCAAGACAAATCCAACCCAACTCGTTACTGCCTCATTTATTCTCAATTTGCTGATGATTGAGAGCAGGGTCACCAGCAAAGGTATTAAACAGCAACCTGATGTTCAAAGTGGATTCCTCTAAACTCACTTCTCTTGGAAAACAAAAGGGAGGTGACGGTGATTGCCTTTAACATTAAGGCAACATTTAACTGAGTGTGGCATCCAGGACCCCTAGCCTAACAGGAGTCAATGGGAAATAATCTCCACTGGTTGGAGTCATACCTAGCACGAAGGAAGATGACAGTGGTTGGTGAAGACCAATCATTTCAGGCACAGGGCACCACACTGTCAGTTCCTCAAGGTAGATATTTTAATCAATATATCTAGATCTGTTATGACACAACTCTGGAGCAAGTGGGACATGAACCACTGGGCACTAGGGACATAGGGACACTACCACTACGCCACGTAGGCCTTAAATTCCAAATGGTAAAGTTGTAGGCCCAACCATCTTCAGCTGCTTTATCAATAACCTATCCTCCATCATAAGATCAGAAGTGGGGATTTTCTTCTGATGACTGCACCGTGTTCAGCCCCATTTGTGATTTGTCAGGTGAGTGCAGAAGGAGACGATTCAGCGCATCATGTCTGCACCTTTCTCCAAATTAGCATTTCATTGAGTGCCATTCTGTCAGCCTGGAGACCAACATCTTTTGTTTCCCTTTTCAAAATAAAATGCAATTACCTATCAAATACTTCAATTAAACATGTCTCCACCACATTACTGCAAGTAACATATTCCAGACCTTAAGCATTTGCTGAATGAGAATTTTATTTTTTCATACTGCTTCTTTTGGGAATTACTTTAAATCTGTGCCCTCTCATTCTTGATCCTTCTACCTGTGGGAACGGTTTCTCCCTATCAAGACCCCCTGTCATTTTGAATGCTTCCATCAGATCTCCTCAGGGCCTTCTCTTCTAACTTCTCCAAACTATCTACACCTGTCCAACACCAAAAGTACCTGCAATAAGACCAGGTGTTGTTCCTTATGTTACAGAAACCTGTTACTGTATCACATTGTATTCACATCAGAGGGCGGGAGACATAAACACTCTTTGAAACCATGGCTTAGGTTATAAACTCCCTGAAAATTATTAAACAATGAATGGATAAGTGAACACTAACAATGATCCATTGTAGATTTATGGTTCTGATTCTTCTTCGGAAGACAGGAACCAGTTGTAACTGCTGCGCTGCACATCAATGTAAATCTTATGAAACAATAAAGGAGTTTTGAAGCGACGTGTGCTCTTTAATTCAGCAATTTGTAATGACAAGGTTTAACTCAGCCACTCGTGGAGTTTTTTTGGCAGCTAGGGTGTGGCTGTAGGAATAATTGGTACATCAGATCCACTCTTCCTCAGAGATTACTGCCTGTTCTCCTAGCTGCTTTCCCAACACACCTCTGCAGCATCATGAAGCATACTGAAGAATATCACCAGATCTGTTCAAACACATCAACTGTATCTTGAGAAGCCTAATTTTGTTTTAACCTGGTTTTATTCTTGCCCTGGTGCTGATATAACTTCTGTTCCAGCTCTCGTCTGCCTCAGGGGTATAGATCCCCACAGGAGTCATCAGCCAAAGTGGGTCACTCTTGTCTCCATGGAGATAACCAAGGAGGGTTTGTGGACTGGCAGAGAATAAAGGAGACAAGGCATCTTTCTAGATACTTGGTGCCCACTTTGCAGTAGCTGCAGAGTCACGGATCATTTGGGTGTTTTGATTCACGGGAATACTTAGCTGATCTGAGGGATCCTGTTTGCCTTGTGGGTCCAGTCGATCACCTCTTGGACCTGTGGAAATCAAGCCTACTCTGCAAATCTTACAGCCCTGTGGGTTTGAATGGTCTCTCCCTGGTAAAGGTGGCATTGGCAAGCAGAACATTGGAGACCTGGGTGGTGGCATTCAGGTGAAAATATAGATGGCACCAAGACATTTCTGAATGGAACTGGAGGCAATGGAATTCAGGTCTGTTGTCTCCTTGGTGGCCACTGATGATGTGGTTACCTGGTGAGGCCTGGTTGCAATGACCTGATGTGAAAGCCTGAGCGCCCTGGGGCCTGTATTGCACTCCCATGTTTGGGAAGGTGAGATCCTGTGCTGGGATTATCACCTCCTTTGAGCTGGAGTTCTCTGACCATCTCTTTGCCCCATGAGGCAGCATGTTGCAACTTCAGCCTGTGGCCTTATTGCTGTTGCTGCAATAGACACTGATTCCCCGAGCTCCTTACAGAGGTCCAGTCTCTGGCTGCACAAACTTGCCCCGTGCTGCAGTGCAAGCTGACAGTGGGCAAGTTCAGGTGCACCAAAGCACTGAAAGATTACTTCAAAAAATTACAACTTGCTGCTGAAATAGATGATTTTGTGCTGACAGCAATATCCTGGGAGCACATGCCTTTCACATTGGTTAACCACAATCTTGTTGATCTGTCTTTACTGCATGTCGATTTCAGTAAACAGCACCCCTGCACCCTGGCAAGATGCTTTGGCTATTAAAACAGAATATAGCATTAAACGCAGACTTAATTAGGCCTTCTAATATTACAGAGATAACAAGGTGTAGAGCTGGATGAACACAGCAGGCCAAGCAGCATCATAGGAGCAGGAAGGCTGACGTTTCGGGCCTAGACCCTTCTTTAGAAATGGGGGAGGTGAAGGGGAGTTCTGAAATAAATAGGGAGAGAGGGGGAGGCGGATAGAAGATGGATAGAGGAGAAGATAGGTGGGGAGGAGACAGACAGGTCAAAGAGGCGTGGTTGGAGCCAGTAAAGGTGAGTATAGGTGGGGAGTTAGGGAGGGGATAGGTCGGTCCAGGGAGGACGGACAGGTCAAGGAGGTGGGATGAGGCTAGTAGGTAGGAGATGGGGGTGGGGCGTGAGGTGGGAGGAATGGTTAGGGAGGCGGGGACGAGCTGGGCTGGTTTTGAGATGCCGACGGGGGCGGGGAGATTTTGAAACTTGTGAAATCCACATTGATACCCTTGGGCTGCAGGGTTCCCAAGCGGAATATGAGATGCTGTTCCTGCAGCCTTCGGGTGGCATCGTTGTGGCACTGCAGGAGGCCCAGGATGGACAGGTCGTCTGAGGAATGGGAGGGGGAGTTGAAATGGTTCGCGACTGGGAGGTGCAGTTGTTTATTGCGAACCGAGCGTAGGTGTTCTGCAAAGCGGTCCCCAAGCCTCCGCTTGGTTTCCCCGATGTAGAGGAGGCCACAACGGGTACAACGGATGCAGTATACCACATTAACAGATGTGCAGGTGAATATCTGTTTGATTTGGAAGGTCTTCTTAGGGCCTGGGATGGGGGTGAGGGGGAGGTATAGGGGCAGGTGTAGCACTTCCTGCGGTTGCAGGGAAAAGTGCCGGGTGTGGTGGGGCTGGTGGGGAGTGTGGAGTGGACAAGGGAGTCACGGAGAGAGTGGTCCCTCCGGAAAGCAGATAAGGGTGGGGAGGGAAAAATGTCTTTGGTAGTGGGGTCGGATTGCAGATGGCAGAAGTGTCGGAGGATGATGCGTTGGATCCGGAGGTTGGTGGAGTGGTACGTGAGGATGAGGGGGATTCTGTTTTGGTTGTTATTGCGGGGAGGGGGTGTGAGGGATGAGTTGCAGGAAATGCGAGAGACACGGTGGAGGGTGTTTTCGACCACTGAGGGGGGGATGTTGCGGTCTTTGAAAAACGAGGACATCTGAGATATATGGGAGT